AAAGGAAGGTGGGGGATAAGAAGTAAGCCTCAACATAGCAGGATATACGGGGATGGATTTACCGAAATTAGGAGTACCTTTAGAAGCTTCTATAGGCAGCATCTGGGGCCCATACGTTTAACCTTAGAACCGAAGAGCGGCGGATCTTTTTGGACAGCGCGCGCCGCTATCCTACATGGAGCCTCGGGCCAGTGCTTAGCTCCTGCCTCAGCGTAGATGGGCATATTTAGGGATTAGGGTTTAGGGTAGATGGGTAACTACTGCAGTTTATTGCCATTATTTAGGGTTTGGCGTGTCATTTTGGTTTTAGGATTTTTAAACTAAGGAAATTTGGGTACCCTAATAAGTAATGGTAAGTTTATATGGTCTTGAGGGCTTAGGGTTTAGGGCTTTGGAAAATCATGTCGGTCAACACCGTATGAGCTGCAGTCAATATTCTACATAATCTAATGGACATTGTTCCTTATTAGAGATTATATTAGGGACTACACACCCTATGTCCACTTTTAAGAGTCCCTGAAGAACTGCATAGGGTCAAAGTTGTGGGGATTCGGGTCAGGAATTTGGAGTTAGTCGATTGCAAGGTTTCAAAGGTTCTCTAGCTCTCAAGTCCAAGTACCCAAAGCTTGGGGCTTTAGATACCTTAAGGCCTTATTGTTTGGGTACTTGGATGCTTAGGTCGGGCTTTAGGATCTCATCTGTGATGTGTAGCAAAGCTTTCTGGTCCGGTTCCTCAGTACATGCAGTCACGTCCTATATAGGTCCCAAACGGGAAAAAGGACTCAACAATGATCCAGCTGCATGCCTCCCCTCTGTAATGGCTTTCCTGGGTGTGCCGGCGGAGTGACCTGAGTTTCTTGTGGTTTAAGTTTTGCTTTTGTGGGACCTTTTCTCCAAGGCTCATGTCCCCAGAAATGCTTTAGAGCACGGTCCTGAAAGCACTATGGTTTACGGGTTTAGAGTTTGGGTCAAACAAAGAGAAGGCAAGATCCTACGCTGATCCCTTCCGGAGTTTAAGATCATGCCATGAAGAACTTGTCGGGCTGAAGCGTTCAAGAGGCCTCATAGTATCGTATTCAGGGTATGGTAGAGGTTTCAAGGAATGTCTAGGCTCAAATCTCAACCCCAAGTCTATAACCTCTACCTACTTTGGGACGTTAATTAAAAGTCTATGAACAGAAATTACTTTGGGCCTCTCAATCCCTTAATTTTAGGAACCCTAATCTCTAAACCCCACAGCCTCCCATGTTACATCCAACACCTGTCCAGCGGCCACGCAGCCGCAAAGGTCTGCCGGAGGCCCTCCCCTTGAGGCTGGGATCTCACCTGGCAGTTGCTTAGGATTTAGGATTTAAGGTTTAGGATTTGGGATTCAGGGTGTATGGTTTCAGAAGTTATTTGGGGATTCTGGTATAGAAGGATTAGGAGATAGATTAAGGAAGCTGAGGACTGACCATGTTGATCCCAAGAGTCCCAACACACACGCTGGCAGGGCCTAAGCTCCAGGACAACCCTGCCACCCTTACTCAAAAGTACAACTTCCTGGTGGGCAGCAGGGAACGGAGCAATGGACTCAGGGCTTAGGGTCAATTACCTCAATTCCCCTACATGTTGCCAATGTTTTCCTTGCTTCATTCTAAGCACCAGTCAGTCAGCGCAACACCGTACACCCTAAACCCTCTAAACCCTCTAAACCCTAAACCCTCTAAACCCTAAACCCGAAGCCTCTTTGGATGGTTCCCGTGGCGGACTGCAGGTGGGCGTCGAAGGCTGCCATCTCTGCCAGCAGCCCCGTCCTTGGCTCAGGTCATTAATTGTAATTGTATATGGAAATTTCCCTAAACTAAGGGTCCCCTCCTTGGGGCTCCCTGTACTAAGGATTATAGTGTGTTGAGGTCCCCATTAAGACACCATATGGGCCTCACGGAACTCACTGCGCTACTTCTATTGCAGCCCCACAGCCTTATAAGTTATAAGGGCTTTGCACTTTACACAGGTTGCTTAAGGATTCCAGGCACATGCTCCGTGTCTCAGCGCTGGTTGCGGTGTAGAACCCAGAGCCCAGATCCTGACAGCAGTGTACGGGGTGGGTCAGGCTTTGCTAACTCTACACTCCTGACGTGGAATAGGCGCCTCTACCCGGAAGACTAGTGACAAAGCGGTGTTGGAAGTGGGCGAGTACTTTAAGAGGAGTGGTGCAATTTGGGGCTAGCTAACTTGTTTTGCAAAGTGTTGTAGCGATGTGGTGCTGGCAGCAACTTGTGCATCGCGATCTGCTTGAAGTGACCACCTCCAACACTGGCATTGCCCTCTGTCTGACAGACCGGCATTTCTCTGTGCATGGACTCCCGAAAGCAAAGCTCTGCTAGCTCCTTGCATCGAGTTTATATAGCTATGCTCTGCCTGAAGCACACGACATTCACCTGATTCACCTACAAGTCCTAAACAAGGCGCATGACCCAGAACCAACCCAGCAGTACAAAACGCACATGGTAAGGAGGCACTGAATAGTAATGGAGACTGTCCAAGAAAGCAACCTGCCCCCGTACAATGTATAGTCCCCCCGAAGTAGATAGAACACGGGGTAGATGGGGATCTTCTTATAGTTTTGGGCAACTCCATATTCTATCTACTCAGGGGGGGCTGTAGCTGCTTGGTGCGTGGTCCCTAAGCCGCAAACCCTACACCCTAAGCCCTAAACTCGAAACCATACTGTAAGCCCTAAACCGCTCCTTCGCAAACATGCAGCGGATGGTACTTGGAGTCACATGATGTGCTATCCACGTCTTCCTGAGCGATGGTGCATGTGAGCTATAGTCTAAACTCCCATAATAACCCCTATAATACTCCCCCATACAATTCCTACCTAGCCCCCTTGAAGGGGTGTTTAGTGTGTAGCTCATGTGGCATACAAATGCTTTCTTGCCCCTGCCAAAGGTTTTGAGAAACTCCCGTCAAAGGACTTCCTAAAGTCCTGGACTTTTATGAGGCAGCCCTAAGGGAAATCATATACTTACCCAAGACCTGTACTATAATTGCTCTTGCCCTAGAGCCAGGTATCTAATTATTGGGTACTTGGACCCCGAAACCCTAAACCCTAACCCCCTGAACCTTAAACCCTAAACCCTAATTATTGGGTACGTGGACCCTCTGGGCAGCTTCTTGGCATCTACGTGCCAGAAATCTGGGTTACTGTTAACAAACTTGATTTAAGTTGCTATATTGGGGAGACCCTATTATTTACTATATATATATATATACCCATTATGAAAATTTAGTTTAAGTTCCTTAACAGCAACCCAGATCCCTATATAACCCATTATACTATGGTAGTTTCCATTTTCTTTTCCATTATCCCCATATAACCGCAATACCCTATAATCCCGATATAACCCATATATAATCCCTATAGTCCATATAGCTTCCATTTTCTTTTCCGTTATCCCTATATTCCCTATTGTAATCCCCATTAAGGGGCCCTAGGTGACCCCGCAGGCTCCTATGCACTGGCTGCTTGACATGATTTAGCTATCGTCTTAACTCTTAGTATCCCTCTTAGTAATCCCTATGATACTCCACTTTATATGTATATATATATATACATTTATATATAACACCCTTTCAGGAGTTTAGAGTATAGCTAATTTGGGAAAGGGGTTTGCGTTCATATGCGCCATGCAGCGAAGTACCCAGAAGTTCTGGCTGCAAGTGCTAAATGCGAACTTCAAAGTGACATTTAACATTGTCTTTCCAAAGGGCAGCAGTCCAAACGACACCAGCAAATATTGGGAACGACTGACTACTGTAGTGGCCCCAGCAGAAAATTAACATAATCCAGCCAGAAAACTCGTTGAGCGGCAGCCAGCAGTTGTTCGGGTGCGATGCCTCCCAGGTAGACTATAGCTTGAGATCTCTTCCTGAGTGTGGGGAATTCCACACTTGACCACCCCAAGATTATTTGACGCAACTGCGGCAAACCTTGGCAACCCTACTTCGCTTTTGGGCTGCTTGGGAACCAAACCTTGACCCGTGAAACCTCACCCAAGACACCAAACCCCACACGATGAACCCCGAACTTGAAGCCCAACACAGAAGCCCTAGATTCAAGAATGAGTTAGAATAATTTCAATTCCCGATTTCAGGCAATTTTGGTACAACTCCAAAAAAACACCATTTAGGGTGAGGTCGGGTGAGGTCGCTATAAATTGCCCAAAGCGTATGATTCTGACTTGGCCAACTCACACAACCCAGGTCCTCCGTGCAGCACTTGGCATCCATGGCGAAATGGTCCTGCATCAAGTGTTGCGAGAACAATGGCAGGAATGGCCTCAGTGGTGAAACCCTTGCTGATCCAACTGCAATTCTATTCCTTACTAGCGGCTTTCTCAGAGAAACTTTCTAAAAATGTGGTGCATCCCTGAAAGTATTCGGACTGCTCTTATGATATTATGACATATATCTACATATATATATATATATATGAACATATACATATATATGAATATATACATATATATATATACGTGCGCTCTCAGCCTATGTTTGTCGGTGACGGTGTCCTCATCGCGGTCAAAGATAGTTACGGAGGTCACCTGCCGATCAAAAGTCAGCTGCCAAAGGTAGAAGCCGTAGGAGACATCTTCCACCTCGAAGGGAATTCTGACCATTAGGGGCTTAGGGTCTAGGGTATAGGGTTTGGGGGCAGCTGCTCAAAATAATTACATGCCCCCAAACTGCCCATAAAGTCAGTTTCCTTTTTGGTTAGGTTCCCCCTGTGTCCGTGTGCCTAAGAAAATTGAGAAGTGGAGAGCTTTGCATCAAGTGTTGCACGACCATCCGGCTGGCCCTTGTGGGGAATTTCGTGGCAAACCTTTATGAGCTACGATATCTCCTATCAACAATTCCTGGTTTCCCAGGGCCCCCCCAAAGTCTTCCTGGTGGTGAGTTTGCAATAAGGGACTATACTCTCCGTCTAATACCTATATATAGTATATTAGCCCCTAGTAAGTAGCCCTGATACAGTCACTTCTGACCCCTCCGGCCCGGATCTTCTTCAAAGGCTGCCTCTCCTCATGCTCAGCGATCAGGCGTACGAGATCCATGGACCTGTAAAGTGGACTTAGGGAATAAAAGTTGAGGCCACATGACATATCTGGAGGATTGCAGCTGAAAATTGAGAATTTGAGAAGGCTGGCAACTGGTGAATGACTGTGGACGAAAAAAGGCTACCATCAAGAGCTAAGAGGCATTGCGACTGCCGCACCTCGCGCGTAGGCCGGAAAGACCGGTTCTTGCCAAACATCGTAGGGCGTGAAGTGTGCGTCAGACGGGTCTCGTACCACCATCCCACTGTAGTCGAATGCGCCCCAATACAGCTCGGCCCGTTGCAAGCTGGCAAGGCGGTTCAGCAGGAGATTTGGCCGCACATATAAATCATCGTCAAATTTTAGCCAGAACTGGGCTGCAGTGTTGTGCGCTGCCCAGAGAAGAGCTGCAAGTCCCTTGCGCCCTATGGGGTACTCGTCCGTGGTCCCCGTTAAGAAGACCATGTCATCAAAAAAGTCGCGCTCGCGTCGCAGCAGCGCGTCAATCTGCGACAAGTCGTCGACCTCAGTACCAGCCAGAAAGAACCTGAGTTGAAATCACAAACCCCAGAAAAGTATCTCGCACTTCGTAACAGCCAAGGCAACGCCGCAAGATGAGAATGGAAATGCTTGAAACAAATCTAGAGACACCATACAAGATCTCCCTGGTGCTTAGGAGGGAATGGAGGAATGGATTATAGGGATTGTTATTGGGGATTATTTAAGGACTACTATAGCAAACGATGGAGACCTTCCTGAAAGGGTCTGGTCGCTTGTGACTGAGGCCATGCGCTTTAAGCAGTGGCAACCAGGTGTCTCGAAGCGCCATGCGCCTGCCAAAGTTCCTGGAGTAAAGTCAGGCTTGTCAAGTTCAACATTATATTATAGTATATCATAATATATTATAGCATATTACAGCATATTATAGAGTATAATATGGCATAATATATTGCCTTGAGATAGTCCACCACCAGAACTCTCTCTTCGGCTTAGAGCTTGGATATTGAGACCAAGAGTCTTCTTGGCAGAGTAGATGGCTACGAAGGCCTTGGCGCAGTCAGATTCTAGCGCATTGTGACCAAGTGGCCAGACGTTGGTACTCCTGCTGATGCTATAAGCTACCTAGAGTCGTGCAGGCTGCTACCATCCATGCCTTCTACTAGATGCTGGAATTGATTACTGCAAGCTTTGGAGACGAGCAGCCGGCTTTAAAACTCGCATGTCCGAAGCAGTAAGCAAGACAATCCCACATGATATAGTCCCCATTAAGGAAACTTTGTATATGAGAATTTTATTATGGTTTTGGGCTATTCCGTCCTCCATCTACTTAACTTGGACTATACCCCCCAATAAGCAAAAGCACCTCCCTGGACCTCAGGACAGGGGCGGAGGGCTTTACGAATGCGGGCGTTAGAAACATTGGGGGGGGATTCCCAACTTAGGGGATATAAGGGGTATATAGGTGTTGTTTACAGGGTTTAGGGGTACCTTTTTAAGGTTCCCCATAATGAGGATTGTAGCTTTTGGGGGTCTATGTTGGGTCCCCCCTGTTTAGGGAAACCATCACAAAAAATGGGCGGCAGTGGGGTGCAGACTACATAGCTGAACTGGCAATGAGGAGGTTGCAAGCATCATAGGGCTAGATTACCTGCGGGAATGAATGCAGTCCCATGTCTCAGCACTGCCTTCTATTCGGTACTTCTATTCAAGAACATATTTTCGTGGACAACCCCTTCTGTCGGAAACTCTAGGCCCTAAACCCTAAACCCAGCCAAGTGAAGTCAAGTCACAAGCGGGGGCGCCGGGTTTTTCAGCGCATGGCATGCCTGTGCGCGTGATCTCCTACAATCCCTCCGAGCACCCTGAAATGAGGGCGACAGATTGTCGGACAATGGGTGTTTAGGCCACACCTGGATCCCCCAAAGTATGTAGACTCATAACCTCGTGACAAATTTGGAGGGATTTGGGGCTCTCATTTTGTCTATTCGGGGGTCCAGGTGGAAGAGGTAGCTGGAGAGTCTTGATGCAGAAAGACTTCCTCAAGTTTGCAGTTGGTGTTTAGGGTATCCTCTTCGTCTGAGACCCTAAAGCCTAGATCCCAAACCCTAATGTTCCTCAGTGTTCCAGATTGTGAGTGATGATATATAGAGGTTGGTAGGGATGCTCTCTCAATACCATATAGCGGATTATCGGGCTACATAGGGTTTGTCAAAATTGTGGACCTGAGATCTGCCAAACAGCCATGGTCCCTCTTAAAGGACAGCAGTCTTGGCAGGGCTTGGGCCCTTTGTGAAGCTGCTTCATGTGGTAGTTTCCTTCAATAGGAGAACCCCAATACAGACACCCAAATAGTAGAATCCTTATTCTACGGACTGCCGAGAAGGTACCCCTAGTTCTGGGAAACCCCCATGTCTCCGGGGAGAGGAAACAACTTCTGCCCAGGTGGCCATCTGCGCGTGCCGTTGCAGCCGGAATGGAAAAGGATGTCGATACCTCGAAAGCAGCTGGCAGCGACAGGAGTCACAACGATGGCATTGGCTTTCAGTTTTCAAGGCTTCCTAAGACCTTCGACCGTCTGGTTGATGGCACTACGATAGGACACGCTGTATCAGAGGTCTGCCATCCTAATTAATATTACTTCCGCATATAAGGATATAGGAAGGTTTTCAGAAGTCCTCATATATCGTCGAAAGCTGAAGCCGAAGGCCTCATGTAGAAGAACTCCTGCACTATCTTCACGGAATTCGCGTAGACGTACAGCGCGTCGGGCGGCGCCGTCAACATAAAGTTGATGGCCTGACCCAAGTCCCGTAAATGGATGCCTTTCTTTGAGCACGTGCTGATGTACGAGCGTGGCTTGCATTGCAAGTGCTGCAAGTGGTCGCTTGGCGTGTCTTTGTGATTTTCGTTGGAAAGGCGCTCTTTCAGCCTTGAACCACAACTGCATCTGCATGACAGCGCGCATCTCACTTGCAAGCACCAAGCCTGCTCCACGGAGAAGTCTCTGAACTTCACCAATGCATAGGAGAAGTAGCGAGTGTAGTCTATCCTCCAGTGGGCAGACAATGTGCCTACGTAATACCCAGGGTTTCTACTTCTTGAAAACATGAGCGCGTTGTGATAAAGCGTCAGAGATCTTGCACGCCTCTGCTTCCCTGCATAATTTGAGTGTACGCAAAAGCTACCACTTACGTATATCCATCTTGGACTCCCAAGAGGTCCATGTAGCTGTGCGGGAACACCTTTGGGCCCTAAGTACAAACTATATACCTACATGGACTGCAGGGGAGTTTTTTGCTATGTTTTTGTTCATGGGTTTCGCAGTACAGTACTACCCCAGAAGGAACTACGTAGGAGTCCCTCTAGGGTGGGATTTAGGGGTTTAAGGGTTCTGGATGTCAGGGTTTAGGAGTTGGGTTTAAGGGTTTGGGTTTAAAGGGTTTAGGATTTAAGCTTTAAGAGTTTAGGGCTCAAGGGTATAGGATTAAGGCTTTAAGATTTAAGGTTCAAGGGTTTAGGGCTTCAAAGTTTCAGGATTAAGGGTTTCAAGGTTCCCAGGGTTTAGGCCTTAAGGGTTTCGGGCAGTCGAAAGTGCTCGCAATCAGCTCCTGAATTACCTCCAAAAGCACTTGGATCCCAACATGAACCCCACATGAGCTATAGTCTGAACTCCTTAAAGGGGTTACATAGGTGGTTATATGGGGCACCACCATGGGGGATATTAAGGGGGATACTAGGAGCTTAGACTATAGCTCACATGCCATGGGTAATCCTTCTTTTCCGGAACCCTCCCAAAAGGGACTTTTGTTGGAAACCAACATTTATCTCCAAGGAACTTGTGATGCTTCCCAATTATGATTGGCACTGTCCCATGGGACATGCAGTCGACCAGGCTTTGTGGTGGAGTGCCAACCTTTCAACTGCTGCTTACCTAGACCGAATACCTTATAACTCGTTTCTTAGGGTACCTAACTTTGTGTCGAGTATCTTCGATATTATACAAAATTAAGTACCCGGGCAGGTTCCTGGGGCCTAGGTAAGACACAGCACGGGTTTTCTGACAGGGAATGTCGGGTGCACGAATGGCCCCACTGAGTCAGTTTGATCCCAATAATCCTAGCTCTTCCTTACGTATAGCAGTTCAAAGTCTCGCAGTATGCATACTTACATGGTCGCTGCACCGGGAAGATCGCAGTTCATGCATCAGTTCTCCGATCCATGGACGACCCTCCTGCCAGATTCAAACTTCTGCCACAGAGGTGCATCTTGATCCAGCATCAGCAATACCTTGGATCTCAGACACTGTCACAAGAGACCAAATGGAAATGGGGTTAGGGTTTAGGGTTGGTTCAGGACCCTCCCATATAGCTGTTCGGGCCTTGGGCAGAGACCTCGGCTCCATAGAATCGCTGATGAGCTTGGTCGCACTAACAGAAATGGACTTGAAGGCATCATCAAGCTTTGGTTCAAGCTGCGCTGTTTCCATTGTATATTCGAGTATACTTGGAAGCATTTGTGCTGGCTGCTCCCATGCTGATTGCAATCGGAGAAGACACTTTGTTCGTGCAGCCCAAGGTGCAGAGAAGGTGAAGTTTGCAAATGCCTTGTGCCGCATGTCAAACGTACCGTCATCGATGAAGTAGCCTGGGCTGAGGTTGCTGCACGTCTGACAATTAAACACAACAACGCCTGAAACTACCAACACTCTCACCTCCCTCTGAGACTTACCGGGGCTAGCATGGAATAAGGGAACATGTTCAATGAGGATTCCATAAGGATTGTCCATCATTCCCTACTAAGCACCAGTAAGCAAACAGGGATGGTACACCGCCATCTCCCTTGGCCCTTCTCCTAAAACCCTATTATTTGGGGTCCTATATACCCCTCTATTATAATCCCCATATATCCCTATATAGTCCC